GAGGTGGGGCGGGAGGGAGAAAATAGGAAGATGGAGAGGAAGAAGGAGAAAAAGTAGTAAGGGAGGGAGTAGGCCCCAAAAAAGAAGAAGAAGAAGAGGAAGGAAACAAGAAGGGAAAACAGGGGAAAGAAGGAAGAAAAAAGAAATGAAGAACAAAGAGAATATAAATGAATGGATAAATGATAAATAAGGAAGAGGGCAACAGGAAGAGAGAGGACAGAGAGAAAAGCAGAGAGGTGGGAGATAGGGAGAGAAGTACAGGAGATAAACAGAGGGAACTGGAAAGGGGGAGAAAAGAAGAGAAGAGGCAGAGAGAGAGAGAGAGAGAGAGAGAGAGAGAGAGAGAGAGAGAGAGAGAGAAGAGAGACGAGGAGAAACCCTAATAGCTTTTGCAATTTGCACATTAGAGCGCAGAAAAGACAATTTCTTTTCCTGTTCTCCCGGTTCTCCGTGTCTCATGGAAGCGAACAGGATTTGGAGATGAGAAAAAGAAAGGAGACGAGAATGCCGATTAAAAAGGGAGAGAAGGTAGGAATGGGAAGATGAGGAGAGAAAAAATTGGAGAAAAAAAAGAAAGGACCTGAGATGAGCAATAAAAGTAGAGAGAAAGAGGAATGGAAGATGAGGGAGAGAGAAATTGGAGAAAAAAAAGAAAGGAGGAGATGCAATAAAAGGGAGAGAAGGAGGGAATGGTGAAGATGAGGGAGAGAGAAAAGGGAGAAAAAAGAGGAATGAGAGAGAAGTGCAATAAAAGGGAAGAAAGGGGGATGGAAGGTGAGAGAAGGAAAGAGGAAATAAGAGAGAAGGTGATAAAGAGAGAGGAAGAAGGATGGAGGATGAGGAAGAGGGAGGAGAAGATAGAGAGAGGATGCAGGGAAGAAGAGAGAGAGAATAAGGAGAGAGGGATAATGAGAGAGAGTGGGAAAGGCAAAAACAGAGAGAGAGTATTACGAGAAGATGGAGAGAGGGAGAAAGGTTGATAAAAAGGAGAAAATGAGGGAGCGGAGAAAAAAGTTGGAGAAACGATGTAAAGACAGAGAGGAGAATGAGGAAAAAAAAAGCCAATTGAAAACAGGGAGAAAGATAGATAGATAGATATGAGAGAGAAGAAGAGGAGAGAGGAGAGAAGAGAGAGAGAGAGAGAGAGAGAGAGAGAGAGAGACGAGAGAGGAGAGAGAGAGAGAGAGAGAGAGAGACAGAGACAGAGACAGAGACAGAGACAGAAGAGAGAGCGAGAGAGAGAGAGAGCGAAAGCGCGAGAGAGACAAAGAGAACGAGAGCGCGAGAGAGGGAGAATGCACGCGAGAGAGAGAGAGACAAAACAAACAAACAAACAACTTCTATAGACAAACAAACAAAGAGAAACAAAAAGAAAAAAAAAAAAAGTAAAAAAATAAACAAAAACAACAACATAATTACCCCCACAAAAAAACCGTATGAGAAATAGCGCTTGGCCTGAAGAGCCGCACAAATCACACGCAAATTAGTCGAGAATTCTTGGCTCCCGCTGCACCGGCTCCCGGCACCCCAATCCTTCTCCGGACTGGGGCAGGCTGGGGTAATCTTCCTTCTAATAATAACGGGGGGTGAGAGGGAGAGGGAGAGAGGGAGAGGGGAGGAGAGGGGGAGGGGGGGAGAGGGAGAAGGATGGAGGGGAAATGGGAAGAAGAGGGAGGATGGTGTGTGCAGAGAAGGGGGAGGGAGGGGGGGGGATGAGAGAGGGGGGAGAAGATGGAGGGAGAGGGAGAAGGATGGAAGGGAGAGGAGAGGGAGGAGAGAGGGAGGATGGTGGGAGAGAGAAGGAGAGGAGAAGGGAGGAAGAGGGAGGGAGAGGGAGAAGGATGAGGGGAGAGAAGAGGGAGAGGGAGGAGGGGGGAAGGATGGAGGGTGAGAGAAGGGGAGAGGGAGAGGGGAGGATGGTGGTAGAGAGAAGGAGGAAGGAAAGAGGGGAATGGGAGAGGAGGGGAGAAAGGGAGGGGTAGGAGAGGAAGGGAAGAAGGGAGAGGGAGAAGGATGGAGGGGAGAGAGGAGGGAGAGGAGAAGGATGGAGGGGAGAGAAGAGGGAGGGAGGGTGTGGGGGAGAAGGATAGTGGGTGAGAAAAGAGAGAGGGAGGGAGGAGAGGGAGAGCGATGGTGGGTGAGAGAAGGGGAGAGAGAGAGGGAGAAGGATGGTGGGAGAGAGAAGAGGGAGGGAGAGGGAGGGGGAGAAGGATGGTGGGTGAGAAAAGGGAGGGAGAGGGAGAGGGGGGGAGAATTAGAGGGATGGGGAGGGACGGGAGGAAAGCGAGGGGGAGGGAAGGGAGAATGAAAGGGGAGGGGAGTGAGAGTGGAAGAAAGAAGGGGGTAGGAAAAGGAGGGAGAGGGAGAAAGTGAGAGAGGAGAGAGAGAGAGAGAGAGAGAGAGAGGGAGAGAGAGAGAGAGAGGAGAGAGAGAGAGAGAGAGAGAGAGAGAGAGAGAGAGAGAGAGAGAGGAGAGAGAGAGAGAGAGAGAGAGAGAGAGAGAGGAGAGAGGGAAAGAAAGACAGAGAGACAGAGACAAACACAAAGAAAAGAAAAAAGAAAAGGAGAGAAGAAGACAGAGACAGAAACGGAGAAAGAGAAAAGAGAGAGACTCAGAGACAGAAGAGAAAGCGAAGAGAAAAGTAGAGAAACAGAAACAGAAAAGAGAACGAGAGAAAGAGAAAACACAGAAGTAGAGAACACAAAACCAACAAAAACAAAACACGCAACGTCTTTGTTCCTCGCTTCCACAATACAAAAAAAAGAGAAAAAAAATGGAAAAGGAAAATAAGAAAAAAGAAAAAAAATATTAAAAAGAGAGAGAAAATCGCATTCCAGATATTTATATTACTTTACAGGACAAAATATAATAAGCAATAATGTGATATGAATAGTGATAAATGAACAGATAAATAGATGAATGGGAGAGGAAAAGGAAATGAAATTAGAAAAAAGAAATGAAAAATGTAAAGAGTAAATGAAATAAAAATACATAAGAAAAAAAGGGAAAAAAGTGAGAAAAAAGCTGTAAAAAGAAGATTTAAAGAAATGTAAAGAGCAGATAAAATAAATGAAAGAAAATAGATAAGGAAAGGGAAAAAGAAGAAGAAGAAGAAAAACATATTCGTGGAAAAGAGATGAGAGAGAGAGAGAGAGAGATGTAGGTGAGAGAGAGATGAGAGAGAAGAGAGAAAGGAGAGTAGGTAAGAGAGAAAAGAGAAGGAGGATAAATAGATAGATAGAGAAAAGAAGAGAGAGAAAGAAAGAGAGAGAGAGAGAGAGAGAAGGGTAGAAGATAGATAGATATATATATAGAGAGAGAGAAGAAGAGAGGAGAGAGAGTGAGAGAGAGAGAAAGAGAGTAGGTGAGAGAGAGAGAAGGAGAGAGATGATAGAGAGAGAGAAGAAAGGGCGAAGACAAAGAAAGAAATGAGGATAGTCAAAAAATAATAATAATGAGAGTGAGAGACAATAAAAAACATTTTTTTTTTCTTTTTTTTTTAAGATCAAGAATAAATATACTTTAAAAACACCTTGCAACCTACCACACACCCCTCTCCATTCCCCTCCCTCCACCCTCCACCCTCCCTCCTCCACCTCCACCCTCCACCACCCCTCCACCCCCACCCCCTCCCCCCCATCCACACCTCCCCTCCACCCCCCCCCACCACCCCCTCACCCCCACCCCCACTCCTCCTCCACCTCCACCCTCCACCTTCCACCACCACCCCCTCCACCACCACCCCATCCACCACCCTCCAACCCCCCCCTTCCCCCACCACCCCTCCATCCCCCACCCCTCCACCACCACCCCACCCACCCTCCCTCCTCTCTCCGCGGGGTGCTGACAGCCGGACAAGCTTCCTGACAGTCACTTAGACCGCTGACGGATGGGCGACCGCATCCCCCCGACGGCCGCATACCTCCCCGGAATCCGGACGAAAGGATTGATGATACGAATATTCCCGAAGGAGGGACGAGGAGGACGAGGACGAGGTGGGGAGGGACGAGGAGAGGGACGAGTGGGAGAGGGGACGAGGAGGGGACAGAGAGAGAGACTCGGAGGAGAGAGAGAGAGACAGAGAGAGAGAGAGACAGAGATGAGAAGAGAGAGAGGGAGAGAGCGAGAGAGAAAGAGAGAGAGAGAGAGAGAGAGAGAAGAGAGAGATATGGAGAGAGAGAGAGAGAGAGAGATGGAAAGAGAGAAATGGATGGACTCGAGACTGACTCGGATGGACTGACTCGGAGGGACTCGGAGGGACTGACTCGGAGGGACTGGATGGGACTGGGGGACGGAGGGGACGGGGAGGACTCGGATGGGACTCGGAGGGACTGGGAGGGACTCGGCCGGAAGCTTTTGATTGTCGCCGATGACAGATGGGGGGAGTCCGAGGAGGGACGGGAGGGATCCATCAACCGGGGGAGGAGGAGGGGAGGAAGGGAAGGAGGGTAGGGGTAAAGGGAAGGGTGGAGGAGGGGAGGGAGGGGATTGAGGTGGAGGATGGGAGGGGAGGATGAGGATCCATCAACCGGGGGAGGGGGTTGGGGGGGAGGGGGGTGAGGGAGGGGAATTGGGGAGCGGGAACGGGGGAGAGGAGAGGGGAGAGGGAGTGAGGAGGGAGTGGAAGGGGAGTGGAGGGGAGGGAGGGGGGGGGGAACATGGGGAGGGGGGGAAGGGATGGAGGGAGGAGGAGGGGAGGGGGAGAGGAGGAAAGGAGGGATGAGGTGGGTGGTGAGGTGAGGGGATGGAGGAGGGAGAGTAGGTGGTATAGGGGTGGGTGGAGCTAGGATGAAGGGAGTGGAGGGAGGGGGGAGGGAGGAGGTGGGGTGAAGGGAGTGGAGGATAGAGGAGGAGGGGGTGTCGAGTGGAGATGAGGGGGTGGGATTGGAAGGGAGGGACGAGTGGTTGGAGAGTGGAGGAGGGGGGGTAGAGGGTGGGGGGTAGGGAGGGGGTATCCGATGCATCATCATACCACTGCTTCTGACGTTTTCTCCTTATACGGCTCCTGATACCGTTCACACTTCCCCTGATACCAATGCTTCCGCCTCTCCTTACACGGCTCCTTATCGCGCTGCTCATCCTGATACCGCTGTAGAGACCCCCTGATACCGCTGTAGAGACCCCCTGATACCGCTGTAGAGACCCCCTGATACCGCTGTAGAGACCCCCCTGATACCGCATGTTGTTCCCCTGATACCGCCGCTGACGCCTACCCCTTATCCGGATCCTTATATCGTTTCCTTATCTCCTCCTTATACGGTCCCCTTATCCCACGTCGTCACCTAATATCTCTCCTTATACCTCTCCTAATACCACTTATATTTTATCTCCTATTATTGATACCATTTTTCTTGTTCTCCTGTTTGCCTTATACCGCTTATTCTTTCACCGTATAAGGAGATAAGAAACAAATATCTACCTTATGCCACTTAATATTTAATTGATACCACTTCCTGGGTATTTTTAACAGGTGTTACTTGTTTGCATTCGAATTTTTTAAAATATAGCTAATTCTTTTCTTCTTCTTTTTCTTCTTCTTCTTCTTCTTCTTCCTCCTCCTTCTTTCTTCTTTGGGGGGGGGGGGTGTACCTGGGTAAAAGTAAAATTATTTTTTATTTTATTTTCTTATTTTTTATTTATTTTTTTTTTATTTATTTTGGGGTCTGCACTGGTAGAATTAAAAGCTATTTTTTCTCTTTTTTTGGGGGGGAGGGGCGGGGAGGGGACGGGGATGAGGACGATGGGGAAGATTTGGAGGAGAGGGAGGGAGGGAGGGAGGAAGATGGGAGAAGAGAGGAAGGAGGGAATATTCGTAATGATAATAATAATGATGATAACGATGATGATAATGATGATAATAATGTTGGTAATGATAATAATAATGATAATATCACTCGCACTAATAATAAAATCAATAATAAAAATCCCAATGACTACATAAATAAAAAAAACAAATAAAATCAGCAACAACATTAGAAATAACAACAATAACAATCACAAAAAATACAGTTCTTTATACCCAACATTTAGCCATAAATATATTTGACATTTTATACGTATACATAACCTTTTCTTTCGTTTTATTTTCGTCATATACGTCAACATGCATATAATTTTTCCCCGTTTATTGAAATACATCTCTCTCTCTCATTTGGAATGATAATAATAACAATCACAAAAAAATGCAACAGTTTTTTACAACCAACACTTAGTCATCTATATATAATATTTTAATGTATGTATATTATATATATATTATATATTATATATATATTATATATATATATATATTATATTATATGTAGTATGTATGTATATATACATATATAATATATATATATATATATATATATATATATATACATATATATATATATATATATATTATATATTATACATATATTATATATATATATATATATATATATCATATATATATATATACTATATAATATATTATATATATATATATATATATATATATATCATTATATATCACTTTCTTTCATTTTATTTTCATCATATACGTCAACAGCATATTATTTTCCCCCGTTATGAAATACACTCTCATTAGAAATAATAACAATAACAACCACAAAAATCAACAAGTTTTTTACAACCAACATTTAGTCATATCTATATATAACATTTTATATATCACTTTCTTTCGTTTTATTGTCATCATATACGTCAAAATGCATATTATTTTTCCCCGTTTACTGAAATACACTTCACTCTCATTTGAAATAACAATAACAACACAAAAAAATGCAACAGTTTTTTACAACCAACATTTAGTCATCTATATATAAAATTTTATATGTATATATCACTTTCTTTCGTTTTATTGTCATCATATACGTCAACATGCATATTATTTTTTCCCCGTTTACGAAATACACTTCACTCTCTTTCGAAATGATAACAATAACAATAAAAAAAAGTTTTTTTTACAACCAACATTTAGTCACATCTATATATAACACTTTTATATATACACTTTCTTTCGTTTTATTTTTCATCATATATGTCAACATGCATATTATTTTTCCCTGTTTTACTGAAATACATCTCTCTCTCTCATTTGCAATGATAATTGATAAACATCACAAAAATGCAACAGTTTTTTACAACCAACACTTTGTCATCTATATACAACATTTTATATGTATATATCACTTTTGCGTTTTATTTTTATCATATTATGTCAACATTGCACATTATTTTTCCCCGTTACTGAATACACTTTCTCTCATTTAGAATATAACAATAAAACAAAAAAAAAATGCGACAGTTTTTTACAACCAACATTTAGTCATATCTATATATAAAATTTTATATGTATATGTCACTTTCTTTCGTTTTATTATCATATATGTCAACATGCACATAATTTTTCCCCGTTTACTGAAAATACACCTCTTCTCTCATTTGGAATGATAACAATAACAACCACAAAATGCAACAGTTTTTACAACCAACACTTAGTCATATCTATATATAACATTTTATATGCATATATCACTTTCTTTCGTTTATTTTCATTCATATATGTCAACATGCATATTAATTTTTCCCCGTTTACTGAAATACACCTCTCTCTCTCATTTGGATGGTAATATAACAATCACAAAAGTAAAAAAAAAACAATTTACAACCAACATTTAGCCATATCTATATATAATATTTTATATATCACTTCTTTCGTCTTTATTGTCATCATATACGTCAAAAATGCATATTATTTACTCTCATTAGAAATAATAATAATAACAATAAAAAAAAGTTTTTTACAACCAAACATTTAGTCATCTATATATACATTATTTATATATTATATATTATATATATATATATATATATATATATATAATATATATATATATATATATTATCACTTTCCTTCGTTTTATTTTCATCATATACGTCAACATGCATATTATTTCACTCTCATTAGAAATAATAACAATAACAATAACAAAAATGCAACACTGTATCATCACTTCCCTTCGTTTTATTTTCATCATATACGTCAAAATGCATATAATTTTCCCCCGTTTACTGAAATACACTTCACTCTCATTAGAAATAATAACAATAACAATAACAAAAAAGTTTTTTACAACCAACATTTAGTCATCTATATATAACATTTTATATATCACTTTCTTTCGTTTTATTTTCATCATATACGGTCAAATGCATATAATTATCCCCGTTTACTGAATAACCTAAAACAGATGTATTTTTATGTGTTATGATAAACAACACCTTTCAACAAGTATTTAAATAGATGTTATTACCGTTGTGTGTATTCAGTAATAATAGTAATAAAAGATGTATTAGCAGTTGCATTGGGAGTTGTGATAATAATAGGAATTGTGATGATAAAGAAAAAGATAAAAGTGGAAATGACAATGATGGTAATGATGGTGGCAATGGTAGTAATGGTGATAAGGATGGAAATAATAACAAGGATAATGATAGTAATGATGGAAATAAAAGTAAATATAATTGTTATAATAATGACAATGATAATATTAATAATGGATAATGATAATGACAATGGTAATAATGATTAATAATTAATGAAAATGATTAGTAATGATAAAATGGTAATGATAACAAATAGTAATAGTAATGATAATGATAATAATAGATTAATAATAATAATAAAAATAATAATAATATGATAATGATAATGACAATAGTAACCAATTACAAGATATTAATAGAATACTATTTAAATGATAGTAGTAGTAATAATGATGAATGATAATAATGACAAATGATAAGACAAAAATAATTATGATAATAATAATAACAGTAAAGAAATAATATTAATTTATACAATATAATGATTATGAAAATGACAATAACAAAATATGTAATAACGAAAACAATAGTAAGATAATTAAAAATAATAAAAATCCGTAATACTGCAAACAAAAAAAAAAAAAAAAAAAAAACAATGAAAAAATCACAAAAAAAAACATACAACAAAAAACAAACAAACAAAAGACACGAAAGACAACCGTAAAACACAGCGCTCTCTCTCTCTTCTCTCTCCTCTCCTCCCTCCTCCTTCTCTCCCTCCTCCCTCCCTCCTCCCTCTCTCCTCCCCTCCCTCCCTCCCCTCTCTTCCTCCCTCCTCCCCTTCCTCCCTCTCTCCCTCCCCCCCTCTCCTCTCTCTTTCTCACGTCAGCTTCCTCCCTCCTTCCTCCCTCCCTCCCTCCTCCCTCCCTCCTTCCCCTCCCTCCCTCCTCCCCCTCCCCCCTTCTCTTCTCTCTTTCTCTTTCTCACGCCGTTCGGCTTGCGTCATCTCTGTTCTCACAAGTGATTGGAGCACCGTCCTGTCCTCCCTCGGATGGCCAGGGCTAGGGAGGGTAATTAGTGGGTTGGCTTCAGGTGGACGACCGGCAAGGTGTTGGGGCCTGTCCTGTGTCCGGTTTGAAGGGGTGGTGTGGCTGAGGTGGGTGTGGGTGTGGGGATGTGGGGGGGTTGGGGGTGTGGGTGTGTGCGCGCTCTCTCTCTCGGTCTCTCGGTTTGTCTGTTTCTTTCGGTCTCTCGGTTTTTCTTTGTCGTCTCTGGTTTCGGTCATTCTGTCTTTCTGTCTCGGTCTGTCTCTGTCTTTCTCCTCGATCTCTTCTCTCTGTATTCTCTCTCTCGGTCTCTCTCTTCTGTCTCGGTCTCTGACTCTCTCTCTCTCTTAATTATCTCATCTATCATCTCTCCCCCCTCTCTTCTCCTTATCTATCGTTATCTGTCTGTCTGTCTTGTCTGTCCGTCTCTTTCTCTCCTCTTTTCTTTCTTTGCTGTCTCTCTCTCGCGTCTCTTGTCATTCTGTCTCGGTCTCTGACTCTTCTCTCTCTCTCATTCTATCTATCTATCTATCTCTCATTCTTCTCTCTCTCTCTGCTCTTCCTTCTCTCTCTCTCTCTCTCTCTCTCCATCGTATCTATCTATCTATCTCCTCTCTTTTCCCGTCTCTTTTCTCTCTCGCTCCCAACCTCTCGCTCTCGCTCTCTCTCATCTTGTTCTATCATATCATATCTATCTATCTATCTATCTTACGAGAGAGACGAGATTAAGGGACAATTTTCTTATGCAATAATTGTACGATAGTGATGATAGAAGTAGAGGATTAATATATGATAATGGTGATAATGCTGATATAAGGC